GCGGCGGCGGCGGCGGCGGCGGCGACGATGCTGCTACTACTCTAGATAAATTTGGCGCACCTGTTGTGCACTGACGACGACCTGTGCCTCGCCTCAGGGTAATTTGGTTTTTGTGCCCTAGGTAGGGCGCCGTGCGTAATTTGCCTGGCCTGATGCCCAGCCCCCAGGGGCCTGACGCCCAGGTCTGAAGTCCCTGTCTCATGACGCGCACTAAGCGTGCCGTGAACGGGCAGTTGAGAAGACAAATCCGACCGGAAATCTACCGGAACACCGGAACACGCCGGAACACGCCGGAACACGACCGGAGGACGCGAACCGGAACACGCGACCGAGGGGCCCGGGAGAGCCGGAAGCCGGAACATCCGCGAGACCTCTACCGGAACATCAGGGCCGGAACATCAGCGCATTCGGTGTTTCACAATGCATGGAGGGGGCGGCGATGGGGGTTGGCGCGGCTAGGACGCCCGAGGCATGCATAACCCTTGGCGCTACCATCGAGACCCGATTGTTTCAGCCATCGCACATGCAGAGATCCCGAGGTCGATTTATAGGTCGTTTTGCACGACGAGCCGGGTTTTCGCAGTCCGCGGGTCGTCATCGACTCGCCCACCGCATCGAGCGCTTCCCATTCGATCAAACCATGACCGAAGGCTGTCGAAGCCGCGCTTTGGGCTGGCGCATGCCGGATTCGCTCATGGGGCAGCCCCGCACCGCACTCCGCGCCCGCACTTCCGAGGTGCAGTTCGGGCCGAAGATGGGCATCTAAATTCAGGTGAGGCTCGCATATGCCCTCGCGGGAAGATCCCGAACGTAGTTTGTATGGGTCCCCTGAATAACGGACCCCATGCCGACGCGCTCTTGGCCCCGGCGGTCACCCACATCCCGACCATCGAATTCTCCGCCCTCTCGCGCGTTTCGCGACGAAATTTGACGCGCTCTTTGCGTCCGACGCTGCGTCATAACCCCTCCGAGGCTCGTGCCAAGCAGCTTGCTGCGACTCGGGCGGCAAGCTCGCCGTCGGGACGCCGCCGGCCGCCGAAGACGAGGTCCAGATTTGGAGCTCTCCGTAGTGACGGACAAATGATCGAGCGGCGGCTGCTTGGCAGTGTCAAGACGTCAAGCCATCGTGACGGTGCAACTAAAAAGAAAATGTCGGCGATGAAGTTTATTTGCCGCAAGCATGCGATGCTGATCGCGCTCGCGCTCGTCGCCTCCGCATCGGCGCTGCAGCGTCCGCGCAGCGCTCGACGACTCGACATGAGTGCGATGGCAGCGTTCCAAAAATCCGCCGCCACGATCGCCGACTACGACGCCATCGCGGCGGCCTTCGACGCCGGCAACAAAGACCACGACGTCTCGCAAAACATCGACGCTCTATTGGTCCCGCTGGAGCGCGCCCAGCCCGGCGCGAAGCTCACGGTCGTGGACCTCGGCTGCGCGGGCGGCCGCGACCTCGTCACGTTCCTCGCGCGCGGCTGCGACGCCTGGGGCGTCGAGGGCTCCGCCGCGTTCTGCGAGCTCGCGCGCCGCGCGGCGCCGGGCAGGACAAGGGTGATTCAACGTCGCTTCAACGTGAGTGTTCCGCGCGCGCGCGTTCCGGAAAAAGCATCCACGCTTCGAGACCGTTCCGAGAGATGATCGCTCGTCCAAAAA